GAGAGCTCAGCTGCAGAGCCCAGAATTCAGCCAGCCTGACTCCTGCAACTGGCTGGAGACAGGACTGCACCGTCAAACTTCCTTGAGCTCTAAACAAACACACAGACTTTGATATTAAACTTGAAACCACAGGAGGGAAGAACACAGTTAACATGAGGACAGTGGTCATTTGGTGCAYGTCAAAGCACCTTCTAGCACCTAAGCTAGAAGACTTTTTGGAGTCAAAGTGTTTCTGAGCAAACCGAAACTCCAGCAGGACCCGAGCCCGAGGCTGGRCAACTTTACTGCTATGCTGAAATATGAACAATTGTCAGTATTTTACAGGAGCCTTAATGAAACTTTGCCCAAATTTTATGATGCCAGACGTTGCTTCAAAGTTGTTCCAGAATTTACCACTGAGCAGGGGTAGGGCTGCGGTGACGTGTTGGCTGTCAAAAAACTGGCTACTGCCTGTTAAAATGTCTTACAAAAATCCTCCACTAACATTGTGCATGTTATTGAATTTTACACTGATGCTTCAGTAGCCCTTGTCTTTTAAAGACATGCCTTCTATCTTTGCAGATCATTTGAGGAAGGCAATGATGCAGATGAAGTCTTATCTACCCCTGAAACTGGAGACAAGTCGGACAAACTAGTTATCTCTGATCTCTCAGCCTAGAGAAATAGAAGACGTGTAATTGATATGTCAAACTGGATAGCAATCAGTCCTAAGACACTTAAGGGATTTTTCTTAAATCCCTCCTTGGAGCAATGTGCTTTATTTTGTACACTGTAATTTGAGAATCCTTTTTCTCTTCCTGTGTAACTGCAATAAGGTAATTTCTATAAAAAGCGTTTTACAATGGGTTATTGTGCACGCTCATTAAAGATGGTGATTGCACCTTGTTTCCTTTATGTCTTTCCATACGAACTCTTATGTCCCCATGTGCGCACTAAGTGCCAGCATCCAGTTATTAACCAGAACCACTGCCTGCAGCATCATCAGAGGTGATTTCAGTCCAGGGTCCTGCGGCCTTTTAGTTTGACATAGCAGTGAAAGCAGTGCTGCGAAATTAACCTAATTAAAAAATTGCCAGGTTTACATTTAAAAATTCAAGTCACAGTAAATTATCAATTTTAGTAGTTTTACCTTTTCCTCTGGAACCCAAGGCACCATCTCTCTGCATGGGGAAAGTGAAGTCCCTTTTTGTACTTTATCCTGTGTGATCTTTACTTGCTGCTCTACACGTTTTGCAGCGCTGCAGGCTGCTGTGTTTTGCTGAGGATTTAAGATGCAGATAGTTTCTCTGTATATTCTCCTGTGTATGAGAAAATGTCCTTTAGAAACACCGGTCAGGGAAGGCTCTATGTCTTTTCTAGCGTGTTTACAAGGAAACGATACCCAATGCTTGGGGGGTCGCTTAAATGACGCTGGGCCTGCCTGGCCCCCGTACTCCTCATCCCTCATTTGCAGCCTGTTGCAAGCTCAGACTAACTGARATCACAAGGCGCAGGGTAAACAAACCCTCACCCAATACAGGAAAGTTTTAACAGTGACATCCTTTAAGTGGCAAGTGAATTCRTCTGGTATAGTGCTGAGAAACGATCTTCCTCCATAGAAATTGGCCCTAATCTCAGAGAGGAAACACTGTGCCTCCCTCGCAACTTCCTGCTRCAAGTTACAAAGTTAACCTGACTTTTCCCTTGGATTTGCAGCCCAGGGCTCCAGCACGAGCCCAGTAAGTCTTGCTGGTGCTGTTCCTCCTGCACAGCCAGTAGCCTCAGTTTGTGATCTGTACAGAGGTGAACCATCTTTTAAACAGCTGCCAGTTCTACCCATTGCAGCTATACAAATGGGCCTCTCCTCACCTACCTCAAGCAGAGTCCATCCATTTAGTATTTTTAATAATAGTCTAATAATATTTTATGGCAAATGTTTTGCCTCACCTTCAAGGCCAAGCAACAGAAGCCAGTGCTAGCATGATCTTGGTGCAAGAAATGCAGTAATTTATAGTATTGTACTATATAGTACTGCAGGAACAGAAATCTAGTTTTACTGGTACATTTGAAAATAACCATAATTCAGCAATTTCAGATGACTGAGGAAATGTGGTATTCTGCACCAAATCCATCAACTGGCACTGTCCTGTCCTAACTTACCTGGGTAGAAGGTCTCTGAAAGTGCAATATAAAAACAAGGTGAAGCTTGGAATTCCCATTCCGCTTCTGTAGTTTTTCCTTCTGGGATAAGTCAAAAGAGAAGCAGGCAACGATGATCACAGCTGCAGACCCAAGGTCAGCTAAGCTGGAACACGTACCTGTCTCAGTGCTCAGCGCGTTCTCCAGGATGAAGAGAGACAGGACGCGCAGCACAGGAAGATTGTAGGAAGCTGCTTCACTCCAACTCAGCCTCCTCTCTCCAGTATCAGGCACTGCAGATGCTGCATGAAGARTATTTTTCATGGCAAATCCTGCTCAGGCTGTGAGCTGGATTCCTTTTTCCCTGTGAACAGTCAGAAGAGTGACGGAAGTTCAGTTTTGCATGATTTTGATTCTTTTTTTGTCTCTAGTCTGCTTTTGCCCAGCAAACTGAAATCCTGTGTCCTAGGCAAACCTTGCTTTTTGCTTATGTATACACAAATACTCTCTCTCCTCTGTATAAAAATGAGCAGCTAGCTACAAGCACACTCGATTCTGATGGCAATGGTACAGCATTATGAACACAGAGCCGCCTCTGCCCGGCTGCCACCAAGCGGCAGCACTACAGCTAGGCAACTGAAAAACACCCACAGCCCTGCAGAAAATCTCCCCCTTCTCCTAAAGGCGACCCTGAGGTACTCCTAAATACGCCCACAAAGTCAAAGAAAAAATAAAAGGTCAGTGAAGTATCATTTCAATGGCACATATTTTTGGAGTCCAGTGTTTCTAGATCGCGGCATCTTAAATTATGCAGTGGAAGTSAATCTCTATAAAGCAGGAGCGGCTGGAGGCGCCTGCACCAGCACCTGCCCTTGCACTGTAGCCCTTTCTCTGCACCACTGGGTGTTGGTTTTAGAACGTGAATATTTAAAAGGTCCATGCTACTTGAATAAAGTACTTTGTGAACATGGTTTTATCTTTGTGCTTTTCACTTTTTTTGTGGAAAATAAAGGATTTGAATTATAATAATATGAAATATTTATATAGAATTTAAGATGTAATCATTATTATATGTATATAGAATTTAAGTAACCTGTTGTACCCAGTGATAAGCTAGAAAGTTCCTGTTCATCTTACCTGTTCATTTTATCTTTACCTTCTGGTGGGGACCTTCAGGTTCCTCCTGGCTCACCAGGCCCTTTGCGAGGATCACGTATCGCATCTCCATGGGCGTCTTTTTGCCARTCTAAGGGTTCACGAGCAGGCGGCACTGCTGGAAGCACCTGCCTGAGAACACGGGAATTCAGATGGTGCTGTGGTTTCCTGGCACTCAGCAGCGCTGCTCAACAACTGCGTCATTCGCAGACGGAGGGAGGATTTGGGCTCTCGCAACCTGTCTTGGTGCCGGAAGCAAATCCATCTGACAACTCATGGCTCAACTACCGTTCAAATCCGAGGAAAGCCTGGAGAGAAGGGGGCAGAAAGCGGATGTACAGTGCACTGCCTAAAGGAAACCCCAACAGTCTCCCTTATGCTGCCACTAAAGGCAGATGACACCCAGGACTGAGTTACCTCCAGAAGGGCCCCGGCTGCYGTCAGTCCTGCCCCACAGGCTCCTTACGGCCTCTGTGGTTAGTTGCACTCAACCACAAGTGGCCCTGAAAGGTCCCGCGGCAGTGGCTGCCTGGATTGCTCTGAAGTGGGAACCAGAAGCACCACAATTGCTTGGCAATTCAGTAGCTTTATGATCTCTTCCATTGCTTGACTTATTTGAGAACATGTAGCCAGGAGGTTTTAAAATAAAAAA